GCTGAGACAAGGGGAAAACAGCTTCAGCAAACTTCTTCAGTTCGCTGGAGTCTAATGGCACCAAGAAGTGAATCCATGGCACCCTTTTGCACGGAAACACGCTCACAATGTGACCTAATATTGATGAACAAAATCGCATGATCTGACTAGTACGAGCATCAAACTGGCAAAGACTTTGTTTGGACAATGTGAGGTCTGGCAAGGGCAAACTTCGGGGTAGCAACTAAGAACACGTTCACGAACACAAGTACATGAAAACCTCCAATTCACACATCACATCAAATATCGTGAGCCTATCCTTATTACATGTCATTGTCCTTCGGTGAGAACACTTCGGAATTTTCAAGCTTTCTGGACAATGGTTGATAGGCAGGGAGCCGGACCATGAAACCCTGTAAGGATGGCTCCGTCCGCCGGCCGGCGCTCTTAGTGCCTTCCAGTCTGTGGGAGGAAAGGATGGTCTTCCTCGCTACTTTCGCCATCCATATCCTTTCACCCAAACATAACCTCTTAGTAAGTCATAGCAAATGAACATCGGCCACCACATGCAGATTTAGAAAGCCTCGCTATCTACTTGCGGTTGCGATACAGAAATCACAAAAGGGAACAAGAAACAGAAGGTAGCCTCATGAGGCTACAAGCTTGTCGGCACTCCACATCACATCCGCTCGCCCGTCTTTTTGAGCTCACTTCGCTCAGCAAAGCAAACTATCCGATCTGTACCAGCTGAGAGAGGTCTGCCACATTGAAAAAGAATCACTTAGCTTAGAACCTAAACCGAATGTCTTGTGCAAACCAAACCAAAACTAAAAGCAGTAATGTTTGAACACATTCAAACCTCTCCGAGGCGCCTCGACCTCTCAACCCCGAGACGGCCCCAACCCACGTCGTGACTCCAAAAGCCTCGGGGAGCGGATCTTCACGAAGACGATGTGGCACTGAAACGGAACGACGGGAAGACTGTGGAACGGAACTAAACCTTTAAAGTCGGTTCTTCACCGGCGAAGCACAGATTTCAACAACGCTTTCACGCGCCGGATATCCCACTTGTGAGCAAGATCCAAGCCCAATAAGATGACATCCTCACTTGCCCAGCCCCTTCTTAGGAACAAGAACAAAACTCCCAGGTTACAGGACACCTGACAAGAAAGTTTTGGCTGAATGGCTGAACCTTCAGCTTCGTGACTTCGAACTCCACCATGGTTCTGAAACCTTCACTGAGCTCTGCACCGGCTTGGGCTTCTCGAGCAAAAGAGCTTCCTCTTGCGATGCGGACATCGCTGACGATGATCGCGATCTGGTTCCGCTTGGTGGCGTTGCCCATCCTCTTCGGCGCCACAGAATCCCTCAAATAGGCCAACTGAATCAGAACCCCCCTTGCCAAGTTGCGGTTTTGAATTTCAACTCCCTTCAAGGGGATCAACACCGCAAACTCCAAGGAACTTCTTCTTGGAACTTCTACTTCATGAAAGGCCTCGTCAGCCAAGCAAGAAGATAGAGCTCTGGTGAGTTTTTCTTGTTGCCCATCTATTGGAACAAGCAACAAGTCTAAGTTTGGCCAAGTTCCACCTGACTTCATTCATACGTAGCATTTCATGGACCACCTGAGTTTCTCGCACGGCCTTACCATTGTGCAGTGATGCCCAGCGGGGCCAAAGTGCCTCCAAATACAGTTCATCGAAGCATGTTAAACATGTTCGAGAGAAAGACGTCGTCTTTTTTGGCTTGTTCACTTCCATTCAGAAGAAAGCAGAAAGCAACATTCCCGTCTTGACAAAAACGACTGCAAGTTTTCTGCATGTCAAACATCTGGCAGCTACTCCAACACGCTTGTCGCCTCTCCCCGTCTCCCCGTCAGCCTCTGTATGCAGAAGCCTAGATCGAGGGATACAGATAGACAAAGAGAGAGAGAGAGGTGCTGGAAGCCAAAGCACATGACATCCGGCAAAGCCTGAAACCCCCAACTGTGGAAAAAGGAACCCGGTGCTCACATGTTTCCACACGGATTTTCACCTCAGCCTACGTTCTTCAATGGTTGTTCACAGGTTCTGGTGGAATTCAGGGTCCAAAACTTGTGGAAAGTTGGAGCTGCCAAAGTGGTGTCTTTTCCAACTAATCGAGGCAAGTCTTTTGGGTGACTTTTTGGATGTTCACCAGCTACGATGGATTCAGTTTGCTTTTCACCACGTCTCTTCTCTTGGAAGGCACTGCCAGAATCCCCGATTGGCAGGCTGTGAGTAGCCAAGCAGCCAAACCACCAAACAGCTCCAAGTTCGAACCCAGAGTCCGAACGCAGCGCCTTCGCGGAGGCGGTCTAGACCAAGGAAGCACCACGTTGGTATGACCACGATACGATGGGTACCTAATCTTATTGAGCACTCTGAAGTCACCAGCACATACTGGCAGAATAGAAAGGCGAGCCATGTAAAACCTGATAGAACCACAACTGTCTTGATAGTTCCTCTCCTGAAAAAAAGCCTTGAGTCATCAAACCGTCCACAATCCAGAAAAAAACAACAATCCCGAAATTAATCTAATAATTTGTGACAAAAACAATCCAGACTGGATTAATTAGTCCATATTAGTCCTGCATCTGGACTTCCGGAGGTCTCCCAAGTTCCCCTCAGCTTCAGAACCCTTCGGAACCCGGACCGCTCCCGGCTGCGCGGGAAGCGGACCGACGCAGCGTGTTCCGGCCGCGCTCGGTGGGATTGGAGCTCAAAAGAGCCCATCTCTGCGGTGAGCCCAAGCTGAGTCAGCACGGCCACGACAAGCCGAACAAGCCGAACGACAAACCGTGTTCATTCTTTGGCACCCCAACATCTCCTCTGGTACGTGCAGTAAGAGAGACCGTCTCATGTGTCTGCAGACATGAACCAAGAAAACATAACAAATTAGCCAAATGTTGAAGCTCTTGTCACCTTCTGACTCCGTTTCTGGGTGGTGTCTGCATCAGAAAGCATCTTTCTCAAAGTCACACCCCTGAACTTGCAGTCGAATACATGGGAACTGCAGAACGAGCAAACAGAACAAAGCCTTAATCACCCAAAGTTAGGATGCTTTCAACAGAAATCCTAGGCAGGACAACATTTTGTTCTGAGTCAAATTTCAACTTAGTGTCAGGTGTTTTTTCAACCATGGCGATGCGGTGCTTCGTGTCAATGGAGAAACTGAAAAGATTGCTTGATGCTGCACAATGGCTGTGACAAGACTATAAACAAAACATAGTTGGACTTGTCTTGCATTGTATGGCCTTTCGCGGCCAAATGCTTCGATGTTCGTTTCTCCTGGAAACAAATTGACCGCAAACGACTAAGGCTGCAGTGCGGACCAGTTCAGGGCTGGTTCGTGAGATCTCTACCAAAAGGGCCCGCCCTTTTTGGGAAGTTTGTTTTTGCTAACGGTTTCTGTAACGATCACGTGTTTTTGTTTGTCTGCGTCTCTCTCTCTCTCTCTCCTTTCTTTGCATACGTGATGTGCAATAACATGAATTTGTCTGCATTGTTTTTTTCGTTCCTGTGCAATGACTGTGATGTTGGACATGCTTCGGGGACGAGTTCACACGCACTGTGCAAGAACGTGTTTTTCCGTTTTAATTTGTGTCGTTCCTTTGCAATTCTTTGCATACTTGTATTATACGCATGACTGTGATGTTGGATATGCTTCGGCGAGTTCGTGAGGGGGGTCACGATTTCATGAGCTACTGCAAAAAAATAGGCGTTGCCATCAGAACAGTTCCGTTTCATCTTGCCATGCCTTGCTAAGTCCAACAATTCCGACTACAACTCAAGTTTGATAAATGGAATTCTGGACCACCTTGGATGGGAGAGGAGAGATATCAGTGTGATGTAGAGATTCCAGGTGGTGAAGGCTGTGTTCCATCAACAGTTATGACTGAAAGGGCATCGGAGTTGGACACGTCTGTAAAGTCACAGAATCCATTCCATAATGTTTGGGCCCGCAGCGTCACTGGGTCCACAGCCTGCCAGCCTGCCGCCCTTTATTTAGCTGATAGCTGTGCAAAGGAAGAACATAGAAATTCATACCGAAAGCGCAGATGTTGCGCGGGGGGGTCCTCTGCCCAAAGAGCAGTTGAAAAAGGAGCAACAACCTCGAGTATACAGTTCCAGAAGGAATCAAAAAACGTGTAACACATCACATCTGATCTTGCCTCTCAAACCTGCAAACGACTGGCGCATCATCGACGTACGTGGCGGAAAGAAAGAAGCAGGTGCCTCATGGCGACTGAAACGGCGATGGTGGAAGTCCGCATCATCCTTGGTGAAGAAGGGCTTTTTCGGAAGTGGTTGGTGTGAAACATCTGGGCAAATCTTCGAAGAAGGAACAGAAAAGGATACAATCAACTCACAACCTCGATGCACTCGGCCGCTTAGCTTCACAGAAGAGATCAAAAGCTCTTCATTTTTGTCGCGACCTGCTGAGATTCGCATCCTCTGAGGCCGGTGCTTGCAAAGCACTTCTTCAGAAGTTCTGCATAAGCCATGACGTCCAAGTCCTACACTTGACGCCAAAAGAATCTGGTCATTTTGCACGGCAATCCTAAGCATGGCAACCCAAGCCTTGGCTTCCATGACAGTAGGGGAAGAAGATCCATGAACCTGAGCAAAGGGAATAGCTAGCTCGGCTAGCTCTTCTTTCAGAATACTGGGAATTCAAAATCCGAGCACCACAATCCCAAAGCCGGTGATGAATCACAACAAAACGACAAACGCGCAAAAAGAACTGGTACTGCCGCAAAGCTTGTTGCCTTGGACACGGTCGCCCAGGTGAGACATTACGAAACAGGTGAGGACTGAGCTCTGGGCTTCCACCGGCGCCACCGTGAAGAGTGACTGACGTCGAGACAAGCTGAGCTGTCGCTGTCTAAGCTGTTAAAGCTTTTGAGCCCGTCGTCCTTCAACCTCTTGGGGTCCGAACCAAACTCAAGGGATGCTCCAAAATCTCCAGCATTGGGTGCTTCAAGGATTTGTCCGCCCCTCCTACTCTTTGGCATCCGGTCGGCAACAGGTGCCCACCATCTGGATCACCTTGGCAGCAAACGGTCACGCTTCAACACGCTTCAACAAACAAACCAGGTTTATGCGCAAAGCCTTTCAAAGCATGCACATGGTGGTTCTATGTCGTTTTTTGAATCATATATCAATTGGCGCCACACCAGCTGTCAGCGCACCCATCCCCTGAGCGTCCCACACCGGAGTTCAGGACCACATCTAGAGCCACTGGGTCCAAGCGAAAGTTGAAAGGGTTGGCTTTTGTGTTGTCCCCAGCCATGATGATCTTCCCGACGACTTCCCGGAACCTGAAGCCACATTAGTCAAAGGTCCCAAGGCCAAGAGTGTCACACCGATGTCAAGTTCCAACAATGCAGTCGAAGCTGTTTGGCAATCTGAAGGGATCGAAAGCTTCTTGGAAAGCTCCTCTGGAAGCTCAGGGAGCTCAAGAACTTCACTCACTTTCTCCAGCTTGGCCCGGTGCTTTTCGACCCAACCAGGGAGCTCTGCTGGCACCTCTGCACCGAAGCTCGGACGGGTGGCGCCTGGCACCACAAGAGCTGACACACCCAGTCCAAGCAGCAAACGTTGGGCCAACGGTGCTGCGACAGGAGCTGCACACACCCCGTGCACCGTGGTGACCAAGCGTAGCCGTACCTGTGGTGACGTCGTCAGCATCACAAGAGCGGCCATGTCATCGAGCCCCACATCTGTGTCCACAATCAAATCCAAGTCATGGAGAATTCAACATGAAGTGAGCAAAACATACGCCATGTAGGTCATACATGGTCATACAAAATGGTTATACAAAGCGGTTAAACTTGAGGCCAGAGGGGGTGAACGAAAGCTAGCCGGGCTTCCGGTGGTCTGCTGCTGCTGCTGCTGCTGGTGCTGCTGCTGCCGCTGCTGCGCTGGGCGCTGCTGCGCTGGGTGCTCTGCAGGCGCCGGGTCGTCTGCTGCTGCTGCTGCTGCTGCTGGCGCTGGGTGGTCTGCTGCGGCTGCTGCTGCTGCGGCGTTGGGTATGCTGCTGCTGCTGCCGCCGCTGGGTGGTCTGCTGCTGCTGCTGCTGCTGGTGCTGCTGCTGCCGCTGCTGCGCTGGGCGCTGCTGCGCTCGGTGCTCTGCTGGCGCCGGGTCGTCTGCTGCTGCTGCTGCTGCTGCTCTGGGTCTGCTGCTTCTGCTGCTGCTGCTCCTTTGTGGTTTGCTGCAGCTGCTTGGTGGTAGACTGCGGATGCTTGGTGTGCTGCAGCTGCTTGGTGGTCCCGCTCACCGCGCGCAGGGGGGAGTCGAACCGCGGGGGGGGGGGGTCCATAAGATTGATTTAATCAATTATTTGAGGTTTCTGAGGTGCGTCCACCCCGTCACTTAACTTGCTAAAGCAAGAGCAACTCCAGCTAGCTAAGGCTAGCTTTCGTGATAACAATGAAATCCGCTTTTCGAAGACTCCACAGTGCACTGGGTCTCAGGTCCTGGACGGACTGACCGAGCTGCTCTTCGCGGTCCATCACTAGAGGTCACACTAGAGGTCACACTAGAGGTCACGGTATCGCTTTTTAAGCATGGCTTTTGGCACTGGTTCTGGTGACGTTTAACGCTGCAACTGTGATGATAAATTGTGTGGCATGTACAGCACTTGGAATTTCTGACGTACAATTGACGTGGCAAATGCTGTTTACGGAGCAACATGTTTGCAACCTTGCAGTGGCAGCAACCAGCAACCTGGTAGCGTTTCAGATTTTTGCAAAACAGTTAAAGCCCTTCCAGTGTCTACCTGAGGACGCAAGTGCTGCCTGCCAAAAGGTACACTCCACAGCTTAACAAAGCATTGTCACCCGCAGTCTTCCTTTTGCAATTCACAAGTGCATTCGCTCGTTTTTGGCCGGCACCCTTTGTAAAGATGACATGGTGTTGTAAAGAATTGACACAGAAACACATCGATCGATGAATCCCACTTCGACGATGTGAAGAATCCATGCCCTATGGAGTCCAAAGACTATACTTTTCCTGAGTGAAGTAAAGGAAATTCCCTTTCAGGTCTGCCAAAGACTCATTTTATCGTCTTCGTCTTCCAGGCCATGCACATTTTCCTTTGCTACGACCTGCCGACCTGCCCCGTCCTCAAGTCGTCTGTTTGGCAGGCTCGGCTCGGGCGCTCAGCACGCAACGAGAACCGGAGGACCGGTGACCGGCTGCTGAAGCGCCGGAGGACCGGATTCCTGGCCAAGGACCGGACCCTGAAACCGGATTCAATGGATTCTGGATGGTGCAGATCTGGCATCCCATCCGATCTGTCCTTGAGAGAAGAGAAAAGAACATAGACCGGCAACACCTAAATAGATTATCCACATGATGCCATCCCAGTGTGCAGATCACAGGGTTCAAGCACAACTGTGTATAGAGAGGGAGAGAGAATGTGTGAAGCATTTGCAACCTTCAGAACACGTCGGACTTGAATCTCCGAATATATATATATATAGCCGCGGAAAACGGCAAAGTCAGGGTGTGATGGGGTGATGTTGAGGAAGCCAGGGCATTGCCATTCGAGCTCTCCCGGAACAAACCACAGGATTCTGGAATTTCCATGAACTTCCCTTCCAGCTTAGGGCTCCCCTAGCAATACTAGTACTTGTTGGGGTTCTGAGTAGTTCTTAGTACTCCCTGGGCTACGCCCAGGTTCTCAACTACGCCCCAAAAGTGAAGCCTTCCAGCTGTTCTCTTTGCATCTGGATACATTCTTTGTGCACCCCATGTACAGTCTCCTGCAAAATCCGGGTCCCACTTTGAGTCCCACCGGGTCCCACCCAAAACCACTTTACAAAACCACTTCGGGCCACAGATTCGCAGTCTGGATTCCTTCGTTCTCCCTGGGAACCTCCGGTGGATGGACGCTTTATTTTCCGCCATCGGGTCGTTGGACGCGTTAGTCCAGCTCCACCATGGTGCCCAGGTCGCCCATGCACTCCACAGCATCTTTGTCAGTCTGATCTCGAACAGTCACACGCAGCTCAGGCAGCACCACTCCTCGTTTCAAGGCATCACTGAGCAAGTGTAGAGAGAATAAGTTTTTTGCAAGGTTGATCTTCTTCAAGTGCCGGATGTGTGGAAGAATCCAAAGAATCTTTTCAATGCAGTCATTGTTGAGGTAATTGTCAGCCACATATAAGGTTGAGAGTTGGCCACGACCATGTGGCACTGCCAAAGTTTCAAAAATCACTAAAACGCCATCATGAAGCTGATTCTTGTTCAAGGTAAGTACTTCTAAGCTGCAATTGTCTCGCAGTCCATCGGCAATCACATGAGCTCCAGCCTCACCAAGGCCATTGTCATTAAGATAGAGCTTCTTCAATGTCCGGGTGTTGGAAAGAAATTGAGCCAAGGGGTAAATCTTTGGTCCTAGTTGAGTCCTTGACAGGCTCAAGAGTTGCAAAGCAGACGATGCAGACGACGATGCATCCAAACTTCTTGATGGCGCCAAACATCTGCGAAAACCGGAGCAGGACCCTGGCACTTTCTCTGGCATTGCTAAGCCTGGTAGCAGCTGGAGGCCCTCTGGGCCTATTGGATTTCCATCCAGGAATAGGTGCGTCAGATTTTGATTTGACATCAGAGCCGAAAAGATACTGTCAGCGCCTTTCGGCCCAATGTTGTTATCTGTAACTTTCAATTCAGCAACAACCTCATCTTCTTCCAGCATGCGTCCCACCACGTTTGCTCCAAGGTCCTGCAAATTGCAACTTGAAAGAATTATCGTTTTCCTTGCTGCCCACCAAATCTTCATCAAGTGCAAAGGCACTTGTGCTGTGGTGGTATCCTCCTGCAGATTGAAGTGGGACTCACTGACCGGATAAGCAGCATTCCGAAGGGCCACAAACAAGGGCCACTGAATGGCCATAGCCACTAATACTATATGAAGAACGGGATCTCCAAAATCAAATATAGGCCCATCAATCTCAACCACAAGAAACGCCAGACACAGCGCGTAGAGCATCCCCTTCACCACTATCCAAATCCGCGGCTTACATGCAAAAAGCGGCTGTCCAGAATGGAGCAATGGTTCAGGTGGCGTCAAGAGGGCCCACATGGCATAGGGCAATTTCTTCCAATTTCCAGTTGCATTTAGAACCTGTAACATTTGCCTCAGCCCAAGACTCTATGAAAAAAAAACAGAAAGAAACAAATCAAATCGCCCAGCAAAACAGCAAAGAGGCCCTTGGGCAGTTGCCAGGCGGTCTTGAAATGATCTAAAAGTATTTACATACATACAGTATTATACTATATTATATACTATTCCTGACACAAAATTCTTCCAAACTGAAGTCCGAGTAGTGGATTCCATGCCCTGACCCATTTGCACCACTCGGTTCCCGATGAAATGTTCTTGAGACCTAGAGAGATAACGAACCTTTCTCTTTAGTCATCTGTTTCCCATTTTCTCACATGCCAAGAGACAGTGCAAAATCCAAAAGCAGCAATCCCAAGGCAGCGGGGAATCCAGCCCACGTGATGTCCACTACGTTTTGGAAGGCCAGTGGTAAGAAGCAGTTGGACAGCAAAGTCGCTGCACGGTAAAACACAATGAAGGCAAACCTCATCGATTGAAGAACTGTCGCACAAGCATCCAGCCCCAAACCCCAAGTGAACCGAAATCCATTGGAAAACATATTATGTTCACATCCTCAACCCAAAATCCGTTGGGTTCAAACTACCCCCTACTCTCCATGTCAAAAAGTGCCTTCGGGAAACAATGCAGAAGAGGAAGGTGCTGTGCCCACAACACTTGGTAAGCCGTTCACCTTAGCCAGCAGGAAGGGCTCAACGGAAGGAAACATAGGGACAACAAGATCATTATGAGGAAGTCTGGGAGGCATGAAGGATGTGTCGCTTCTCTTCTCGAAAGCTAGCAATTAAGGTTCTGACATAATGTGAGACATGGCCCAAGCGATCAATTTGCGCGAACGTCTTCACTAAGAAGCAGCCATCCACCAGAGTGGAAATACAAAGGATTGGCCAGGAAGTTTGGGAAAGCTTGGAACCGGAGAGCAAGAACATGTTGAAGAGGAAGGCTGGCACCGTCTCTGTAAGTAAGGAAGCCCTTTGCAGCGCCGTCAAGACTTGAGGAAGATGCAAGAGCTCCATAGCTCGCTCAAGCTCCTCTGCCGTGTCTGAGAAGGTGAAGAGAAGGAAGCATGACAGCAATATGCAGGGTGGTAGCAGCTGGCACAGTGTCAGAAGAGCCATGAAGCATGGGAGGCAAGTGAGTTGGCCAGATGGCAGGCCCAAGGGAGGCATGTACATCCAACTTGTGGGTGTGTGGGGATATACCCACATTGCAGCCCAAGAGGCTGCAAGTCCAATCATCAAGAGCTTGATCGAGAAGGCCACAATATCATGGTCCTCATAGAGATCCATTAATGCCAATGCGTCGGCCAAAAGCCTAAAGCATATCCCGCCAGCTGCAAAGACCACGTGAAACAAGGTCGCCATCTTTTGGATGCTTCTCACAATTGCATCTCTGCAATTCACTGCTTCGTGCACCTTGTAGTCATAGCCTTTTCCTCCTCGCAAAGGACGCACAGCACCCAGAAGCAACATCAAACAGCCCAAAATGCCGAGAACAATAACTGCATGAGCCAAGCTTTCCTGGCTGAGCTGCTCAATCTTTGTCCATAGGCTTGAAAACTGGCTAAGCTCAAGTTCCTCTGATACAGTGATGGCGACATACGCAGTAGCCGCCAAAACCAAACATAGCGTCATGATGTCCCAGCATCCCCACACCAAATGTGGTTGGACTGTGCTCAAGGGCTCGTACCGGACTGATTCCATTTGCTTCAGGTCACAGTCTTAGACTACGGACCTGGGCCTCGGGCTTGGTTGCTGCGGCACGAGGATACTGGTCTATGGCAACCAACGATGAGAGATAGATAGAGATAGAGATCTATTTGCAAAAATTACGGTACCTGGCGAAGCGGATCGATTCAACAGTTCCAACAATTGAAGTATATACAGTAGGAGCTTCGAAATCGTCATTGTGAAGGAATTCGTGAATGTCAATAATTCCATGATCTGAAGGATGCCACTCACAGGAAAGCTCCCAAACCCCGCCACCCTGACCGGACTACAAAGCATTCCGACCATTTCTGACCTACTTCAGCATTGAACCAAGAAATTCTCACCCACCCACCCGCGAGGCCTTTGGCAATCACAAGATGTGGCAGCGAAAGCTGAGGGGCCCAAGGGCCAAAGCCTTGGGCACAAAGAATCAATCCTGAATCCTGATGATGCGTGACCAATCTCGCAAGAAATATGTTATGAGACATGTAGGTCTCGGATGTGACTATGTCCCTGTCCCCCTAATATTACGAAGCAAAAACGCTTCATTTGAACAACGATGTTTCCACAGGACCTATGGCAATGGTCTTTTGATTGAAAGAACTGAATGGTGACCGTACCCTGGTGATGCGACGGAACCCTCAAAAGGATTGAGCAGGTGCACCCGCACCCAGGTGGTGCACCCGCAACACCCCAAATTCCCTCGAACTGGTCATCCCCTTCCGACGCCAAGTCGCCAGGGACACGTTGGACCGGGCTGGGAGCGCCTGGCGACAGCACGCTGGGGAGCGCCTGCCCCTTTGCAGCAAAGGAAGTACGACTTGTCACCTCATCTGTAGCTGCTATGCCAAGTCCAAATTGGAAGGATAAAAATCACAGGACCCAAACACAGGTCCAAATTTAGCCCTTCCAAGTCTGGCGAAACTGTGTTTGTCTGACCTGCTCGCAAGGAATGAGTTCATCTGCAACCTGGGCTTGGGACCATGATGAACCATACGCCATGTGCATTTGATAAAATGAATCGGAAACAAATTGTACACAACACTTTGTCAACTTTGCAAAGCCACGTCGTGAGCGCTCCACTGTGAATGTCATGCCTGCCTGCTGTGGAGATGGATGGCGTAACTCTGAGTCCTCACCCTCACATGGCCGCAAGCCAACAAGCATGGACGGGGAAACCAATCTTACTTAAGAATATACACTGCAAAATCATTACAACACTACTTGAATTGGCTAAACATTGGCTACACAAAACCAAAAGCCTTTTACTGACAAGTGGATGTAAGTTAAGGTACATTGCAGCACTTTACACAGGAAGAACCGGAAAAATGTCTGCACCAACCTGGCAAACATCGCACTTCCCAGAATATTGGATTGTCAGTCTACCATACCCCTGCCAGGAACTTGAACCATCTGTTGCTCAATGGTAACCTAACTGGCCTTAAACGATCTCAGTGCGCTGCGCACAATGGAGTTCCGAGAAATCCCAGCTCTAAGTCCAAACTCCGAAAGCTTGGCCACTCGCTTCACGGTCGTTTGTGCCTCCAACCATCAACAACGAACTGCCTAGGCCAAGGAAACTAGAAAGCGTGGCCAAGGGCGAGAAAGTGCTACTGAGACATATTATCTCAAAGGCATATAGACATGGTGAGCTTCTTTGGCTCATTCAGAGTTCCAGCCAAAGTAGACAACCAAAGTAGACCATCAATTGTTAAAGACTCACCACCATGAACAATGTTGACCTCTGTTTGCTGCAAAACTGGTTGGATTTGGAGTGGGACCAGGTTGGAAGTCAGTCGAGGTTGGTCAACTGCAGCTGGAAACATATTCCTGAACGTTTCTTGCATCCATGTACTCCTCTGGCCAATGGCCCTCAAACAGTTTTCCGTCTTGAACATGATATTTGCATTGAGCAAGGACGGCTTTACCGTCTGCCCATGTGCCCTCCAATTTGTCACCGTTTACATAGCTGTACATGCCGTTGTTGCCGTGCATTTGCCCGCCTCGAAAATATCCATCGAAGGTGTCTCCATTCTGGAAAAAGTATTTACCTCTACCGTGCTGCTTGGAGGCTCTCAAAGACCCCACGTAGAGGTCTCCTATGGACCAAACAATATAGCCAATCCCTGCAGCATTCGAAGCCCAAAGCTGGGCACATTTAGGCGAGTTCACGCGGAGGATGTAGCCGTCGATGTAAGCGAAAAGGCCTCAAATGGCCCATGCAGCACGCAACGCAGTAAACGTCACGTTGCATGATGCAAACATCCAAGTGCTGAGTGCTGCAACGGCCATCTGGAACATCCTCGACCTCCCTGCGGCAAGCCTTATTGAAGCCATACTGAATCAATTGAGGTACTAAATCTCAAGCTTCTTCACTCGCATCTCAAACAACAAAGCCTCTTGCTGACATGGTACGAGTCTTGCTAAAGGAACAACCAATGCTAACTCTGAAGCCTTCACTAAAATTGATTTGCTGCTTGGTTGCTTCGGACGCCGCCCATAAACGAAAGAAATCAACTGTACCTGCATCAGTACAGCACATGTCAGTTGGCAGCACTCATGAGGTTCATAGAGGTGTTGAGCCCCGCCTGCCAAAATTAAGACACCATATTTGGTCTTTTCTGAATAGTGTTTGTAATGGATCAACCAGCGGTCCTGAAGAAGCTACATATTTTACGGCACAAGGAAAGGAGGCATCCACCCTTCGAGGATGACATAATAATTCAAACAGGAGTCAAACAGTATCACAAAAACAATCAAACACATACATGTCATATTTTTGAACATGTGTTGACAAAATATCGTTACAATCCTGTAGCCGATCATAATTAATCACCCAAGCAAAACCTTAGCAAAACCATTGACACTCAAACAATTGCAAAGTCGGTCCTGGCGATCAACTGTCTTGCCTAGGCCACGCTTCAGGCGAAGATCGGTATCGGAGATGAGCGGTTTCGATGCATTGTACCTTGGTCCGACTTATGTTCATGCCCTGCAGCACACAAATCGAAGCATGTCTTGCGCAAAACATAAGGCTGAAGCATGAGGTAGCATTAGGCAACGCAGGACGCAGCCACGTAAGGCTGAATGACTTCCAGGTCGCTTGAGGAGGCCCACATTCACCTCGATTCTTCTATACAATGGGGCGTCTTCCTCACCCACGCCACATCCAAAAACGCTAAAGCCTTCCTCCTGGCATTGCATCGGCAATCGGCAAGCAAACATATTTTTTGGTGTGCCGCACATAAATTGTAGCCTGCGACTCCTATCTGAAGGCAATCAAACAAGTCGCCAAAAGCTCACATGCTTCATACTCCCCGCACCTCCAGCTCATTGAGCAATTCTTGTGCGTTTGTTCCAGTTGATAGCTCGGGCTCGCCAATCCTTAGTCGCCGCAGTTCTGGTGACACACCGGCGCATCAGAACATTCAGAACAAAGAAAATCCGTCTGCAAACTGAAAAAGGGCACACAGGTGGTCATTTACAAGAATTGGGCATCAAGTTGGTTGAACTGCAGCACAGAAAGTCCAGAAATGCCAGCAAGTGTCTTCTTCTTTTCCTGATTGATCCTTCGAAGAGTGCCAGCATCCAGGCTGGTTGTGCCAGATATCAGAAACAAGGCATCTTCGGCCTCAGTGCGCGCGCACGCTCATCCTTAAGTTCGCGCGATTTACGTCTAACGTGATGTCGCGTGGTGCCTCAGCAAGCACGGAACCAACTTCAGCTAAGCTCTCAGCCAACTTGTCGTAAGGGAATTCACCTTTGGTCTTGCTGGCGTCCGCCTGACAAGCCAGACTGGAAAAGCAAACTTATATATTTCAACAAATCTGTCTGATATTGTAAACATCTGCGAGTACCGCAGGGTGGGGTATTGTTGAATAACTGAGGACGTTTCCGGCCCAAGGATGCAAACTGCTTAGATACTTCGAACAACCGCTGAGGTGCGACAGGAAAGCGAGTAAAACGCTGATGTGTGAAGAGACACAACTCCAAACGGACGCCCGGTGTCCGTTCTCTTACCGATATGATATACCTAAATCTGATATGTTCTTTCGCCCACTGGAAATGGCAAACGCCCAGGTGCCTCATCTAAAACCTCTTTCTCACGCTGATCTTTGTCAGCATCTTCTGCCTAGGCATGGGTGGACCACCGCAGAAAAAAATAATCAGCATGCATCCTCCACCTTACACCCTAGCCACTACCCTAGCCCTATCGGTATCTTTGTGCAAAAGCAGGCTGAAGATCTCAGAATTCTTTGACTCCAGCCTGATTTTTTTGGAACACTAACAGCACCGCAACATTTATTCCACACATGCCCTAATGTTGAGATATGTTGCGTGTCTTTCTCAGTTTTGAGAACAACATTGAGAAGGACTTTGCACACATGTATTTCTCTTCCACCCCAACTATCCAAACAGGAAAATAGAAAAACAAAACACGTAACAAAAATATGCTCCACTTTCCTCCGGCTGCAGTCAACGATGCAAAATGATGCTGTGTGTCCCTCAAAGTCAGCCAGCAGTTCCCGATATATTCCATCTGCCACCAAGGAAATCCTAGGTATTGAGATATGATATGATATTATGTGTTGCCGAGGTGCTCTGCTCTTGAGCACCGCGATCACTTCCTTGCTGCCTTTAATCTGAGCAAGCTGCAAGGCGGTCTGGCCTCGGGCTGCTCCAAAATTGCTTCTGAAGGAAGGGCAATCTTGTACTTGAACCAAAGTTTCGACTTGCAAAGCTTGAAGCTGTCGTGTTCTGGAGTTACTTTGCTGTACCATGCTGCCAATGCAGCAACTCATCCCACCATACATGCTAAGTTCACAGCCACTTTCAGATGCATCGTGTACCATTGCTCGAGCTGCAAGGAGGTATTCCACCACCTCTATGCGGCCGCCAAAGGCTGCGCAGTGCAGAGGCATTTCGCCTAGAAACGCAGTAAAATAGGCCGGGACACACACAAACAAACGCAAGCAACATTGAATGCTGCTAGTCCAGTTTCAAGACCAAATCCTCGCGGGTTTTGCAATTCAACGCCCACAGTCATATCTTTGACAGTGACAGGATCTGTTTCACAGATTCAAACACGAAGGACAAACATCATGGAGCACATTGAGGCAGCCACCCTTGCTATCAGCAACCCTGACCGCCGCTCGGGCAGAAAGGAGAGCCCTGACGGTCTCAACATGGCGGTTTAGCGCTGCCAAATGCAACAGCGTTCGGCCTCAGTGTAGCGGACCAAAACAACACATAGCTCCAGAATGCTCATCAAACAAACACGGCAGTTTCAAAGACCTCCAAAAGTCGTTGGGTCAGGGATGGCCACAGCATTGCCTTTTCTTTGAAGGGGGCTCTCGAGCTTGGCGTCCATACCCCTACACGTGTTGGTTGATGAAAAGTGTTGAGCAAAACACGTATAGGTTCATTCCCAAGTCATCCCTTAAGCACGAAGGCAAAGAAGATTTCGTTTCATTGAACGCACCCTCTCAGATTAGGTGGGTTCCTCGACAAGTTCCCCCCTCCAGCTGTGCTGCCATCGTCATTGGTGGTGTGCACCGCACTGGGATGATCAACAAGGACCTCTTGGAGGTCTGTGACATGTCCCAGCTGGGCAAACTCGATGATCTTTGGACCTCGTTCCGATCGATTTCAGCGGAAAAATGAGCATGCAAGTTTGATTGTTAGCAGGCACACACACACAGTTTGATTGTTTGGTTTCTCATAGGAATCTTCACAGTATTTCGCTGTGATGTGTTCCTCACAAAGCAATCAGCATGTTTCTCTCAAACATTGGTGAAATCATATGAAATCTGAGAGCTCCGCCCATTCGGTCTTTAGCTGCCGCATCATCTTCCTGTAAATGATATCAAAATGAGTGCCATCCTGTGGGGGGAACGAGCCTGGCGTTTCATCCTAGGAATTCCTGAGGGACAGAAAGCTGGGGGCCCAGGGCTAACCCAAAAGACAAAGGGTTCCATGGACTCGGAAGACTTCAGGGACCTGCCAGAGCTGACGTTCTAACGTCCTGCAGGCTACTGTATGGCGCTTTGCTCCACTCGCTGTCGGCAGTCGAGTGGTCCGGGCATGCCTACTGGGCAGTCGAAGGGGTCTGCGCAAAAGCAGCTGCTTCGACCCAAAGTGCCGACCCGAAGAGTCTTGAGCATGTCTCCGAAATCATGCGTTAGAGACGATCATGATCAAACTTATATCATCAAATTGAATTAAAACAGTTTCATGAAAGGGGGTGCTGGCAACTGATTGAGCTTGTTGGAGCTGTATGCGTGCCCCTCTGTGCCCACAATTGGTTGGAACAGGGAGGTCCGGTTGCAGTTTGAATTCCAGTTTTGGGAGGTGGGAGTTAGTTCCAGTCTATTGAAGGGCTCCGCGGGGATGCGCTGCCAAACAATGCCAAACACAATGCAGCTTAGTAGTGACAGGTCACCTCTACAGCTATATAACCCTTCTATTGCCCTTGACATGTCTCTTTTCAACGTTGTTTTCCTTATCATCTTGCTTGAGGTGGTTTATATACAGTATCCGTTTCCTTGTCATTGGTGGTCTTTAGTTGTCTTTCAATTCCTGTTTAGTTTCCTTCTCCCTGTGCATGTGGCATGGTGATGTGGGTGTCATTCTATCTTGCCAACTATCTTGCCAGTATGAAGGAGAATGATTAGCTAGAGCCTGCTTTCGGAAAAAGGGGTTCGAACCAACCGCCCAGAACTACATCCCAGGTGTCCACGGTTTGTTCGTGACCAGCTGCCACATGCTGTGTTGAGCGGTAATTTGGAAAGGTTCCCTCTTTCATCTCTCACGCAATCCTAGAGCAGGGGCAAATTCGAGCTGCTAGCTGGAAGAGTGTCCCTGCAGCCCCTGAAGATTCCAGTGTTTCCTCGGTTTTGCGGGTTCCGATTCCATCCGATTCCTGTTCCTGTTCCATCCAATTCTTTCTAGTTGCATTGTCAAGAAAGCGTCAATTGTCCAGTTCCAATTAATGGGGTACACTATAGGGTAATCGAGCAAAGCCAATTGTGACTTATGTAAACAATATTCTGGGTTCTCGAGATGAATCTGGCAAATTTGCCAAGAAGGTACAGTAGGGGAGTATTTGATTCAGCTGCGATCTGTTGGGAAGAAACACGGGCAGTCAAACTGAAACTTCAAAAAAGATCCTTGCTCAAGCAAATGATATTGCAGCTCCAAGCGGAAATAGTTTTCACGATGATTAGATATGTCGTTGTTGCTCTACGAACATACAGACTCAAAACTAAGGGGTCACATCCCTCAAACGTCTTTGCAAAACTCCAACGACGTGACATCATCAGGGTGTGACGACCATGAAAGGACGATCTGGGGGTGACTCGTATTCCTCCTTGAAATCAATGATCTGGTCAAGACGCATTCAATAAACTCTTCCAATTTGGGCCATGGAACCAACATAATGGTAGATTGTGGCAGGTTCACATGCCTGGTGCAAGCAGGCAATGTTTTGCTTGTGTCAGGCTATCAACCTGGGGTGATTTAGCCATAGCGACTCCTTGGTGCAAGAGACAAAATCACACTCTCCCACTCTCCGGCCTTAACGGCACCGGAAGCTGCACGTTCAGTCGGGTTATCCTCAATTGACAAAGACAAGACCGCTAACTGAAGTGGCTTGCGAGACAGATTGGAGCCAAGAAATGGCCTTAATACTCAACCTTCAGACACTGCAACAACCCTCCCCTCGTTTTTTCGTTCGACTTGAACATGACTGAGACATATGTCCTTTTCAATCCTTTTCAGTAATTAGATCGAACTCAGTGCTCAGGTCTCGACTGCGCCAGATATTGGTGCAGCCTTCACAGAAAATCGTTTCACCATGGTCTGGTAGTCTTAATGCAGCACAACATGTGTAGGACTCTTGCTGTCTTTGCAACCTACCTCGATATTTGAGCCTAGTATGCAGCCTGGTTGTGCCAAGGGCAAAATCTTCAAGTTTCGAATTGATTCTTCACCAATCATCTATGTTCCAAAACTGAGGAGTCATGGGAGTAAGCAAAGCTATTTATTTGTATCTTGTCGTCTACTTCTCCTAATTGGTCCGGGATCTGCGGAGATCTGCAGAGACATCGCGAAGCACAGGCTCCAAAGGAGAAAAAATGTCGACACAAGCCTCAGCCTCTTTTTGCTTCTCTGCCTGGGTCGACATGCAATTGAATAAACTTTCAGGAGGGAAGTCCGAAACACGATATGAATTTGGGACTTCAGGAAGTACTATAGCTTTGGTTTCTTGGCACAGAAAAATATGAGATGAATCTGGTTGCCCATGGTGTTGCAGTGAGAGGCAAAGCAGGGTGTAGTTGATCCAGCTGCGATCTGTTAAGAACGTGCGCTGCCAGTCACTTGCGGCTAGATACTCATAGTCATAGTCCTTTAGTCTCAAGATATGTCGAGTGGGTCAAAGGGCTGCTTGTGATATACTCTGCGGGAGTCAACCGGAGAATGGCGCGAGCAGGGCGAAGAGAGGGAAGCAGGTACAAAGGTAGAAGCCAGGTACAAGGAGGGCGCCAAACAAGTGGTCCTAAGACATACCGATCAAACTTCTTGAATATATCACGCTGTCCACAAGTGGTATAACGACACCTCTAAACAAGCGAAGCAGCTACACATCCAAGCTAAGCCACATGTCAAGCAACAAGGCTAGCAACTGTCCCAGAAAGGGCTTCAATCACAGTTGGTGGTTGAACCTTACCCTTTTGTGAAAAGAAGTGCACTTTTTGCACAGCAGGTTTTTTGGGATCTCGACGCCCACATAGTGAAGCTATGTTAGCCAACTCCCTTACCAAGAAAGGAGAGGACGAACAAATGAATCGTTGCATCGCTTGTCGTCAGTCTTGGAGGATTGTCGAGGATCAGGGCATGTTCAGTGGCAAACGCCTGAAGCGTGAGAAAATAGATTTAGTGAAGTTGCACGAAAGAGAACACAATCACTGAAGGTGATTTTATTTATGCCTCACGGGGTCTCTGAAGGTCATTGCTCCCAAAGTTATCTCGGCCCCTAGATCCTGTCCCATTTACCAACTTGAGAGAGGAGGGGGTGAACGAAAGGTAGCAGGGAATCAAGCGTAACCCTGGAAACACTGGTATTAGTGGTATTTACGGTGTTTTGTGGCCACTTGGAAGCGTACATAGCTTGAAACCATCCCAATATACAGGGTTTTGTGGCAGGAAGGTGCAGAAGCCCATGTAAGTACCGTCACTTTGTGCCACTTTGAAGCCTCTAAGCACCGCAAAAGCCCTTTCCGCCACAAAAAAACCTGCAAATAGCGTGGTTTGAGGCCACTCTTGAAGATAGGAGGAGCTGAAAACATGAAAACACTGGCATTTATGGTGTTTTGTGGCCACTTTGAAGCGTACACAGCCCAAGACCATCGCAATTTACAGGGTTTTGTGCCGGGAAGGCGCACAAACCCGTGTAAATACCGTCGTTTTGTGCCATTTAGAAGCCTCCAAACGCCGAAAAAGCCCTTTCCGACAAAATCTTTCCAGGTTTTTTGCAATTTTTCGACCATTTTTGAAGCCTAGACACTTCAAAAACCACCGGTTTTTACGATGTTTTTGGCCGGACAGCCACAGAAAACCCTGTAAATTGCGTGGTTTGAGGCCACTCTTGCAGACTGGAGGAGCTGAAAACACTGGTATTTACAGTGTTTTGCAGTTGTTGACAAAGACCCGCGCCAGGGTGGAGTTGAAAGGGGGGGGAGGGCCCTAAAGGTAAATGTCAGAGGCGATTTCTCAGTGAGATGGGTGTCCACTCTGGTTATAATTCATTTTTGCTAAAGCAAAAGGAAAACTCAGGTAGCGTAACCGCTACCTTTCGTGATATAGATCATTCCAGTCACCGGCGAAACGCCATAACGGAAGAAAAGATCTTGGAGGTGATCGGCCGATGCGGGTTCCTACATGGTAGCGGAGCTCCTGGTTTTCTACGTCTACATCAAGGAGGTGCTCGAGAATCTCGAGGAGGAGAAGGAACCATGATGGTCACCCGAACAAAAGATGGAGTGCCTGGATGGAATGGGGATCCAGCTACCTGGCTGGTACGCGTGGGCCCAAGATCGCGGCAGAGCTGGTGGGGGCAGCCAAGACGGCGATCATGGGAAAGAAGAGTAGTTGGCTTAGTGAAGCCATGGGGACAGAAACATTCCTGAAGCACTTGCACCGAGCAATCGGTGAACCAGCACTGCCTGAGGTGGGGAACTTCATGCGGCAGTACTTCAAGGCAGGGATCTGGCAAACCCCCTCCGTTGCATGCTCATGGTCAACATGAACAGCTAGACCCAAAACTAAAAACTGTGCGCTTTACGACTATGATATGCAACCTGGTGTGGCTTGTGGCTTGTGCCTTCTCTCTGATCCAGGGATGATGCATTGAACCCCATCCACTGTGAATCAATGTAGCGGACCCACAAACTGTCCAAAATGACTAATGTTGCGAAGTTTGTTGAGCCGCCGTGCCGGATCAGCAAGAAGTCCAGAAACAACAGTGCAAAATACAAGTCAATACAAATCACCGAGACTCGGACTTGGGCTTCAATCATTTTTGCTTCAATCGAAACTTCTAAACCACAAATCATCCAAATCATCCGAAACCTGAAACAGACCTGTTGAAGCCGCTTGGCTGCACCTTGAGCGTTATACATCAAAAAAAGAATCACACGCTCGGCGAAGGCAAGAAAGAACCATCAAACACATCAAGAGCCGCATCAAAGCATTTAAAGGTTCAACGCACAATGCAAGCAACCAAATACAACATCCAAACATCCACTGTCCATCAGCATTTTAGTAGAGGCAGGTGTCAACCAAACAAGTGTATGTATAAGCACGAGCACCCAAAGGAGACAAACGACCAAACTTCACTGGGCAACGTCAAAGCTCAGCTGAAATTAGAAGAGCTTTGCAAGCAGCTAAGAGCATTCATTCAGCAAGCTGTTGCTGGAACATCTTTGCTCGCGACCTGGTGAACCACTTCCGTTGCATGCTCATGAACCTGCAAACAGCTAGACGCATACCTGGGCACAATATAATATTGCTTTTGATTATGATATACAACCTGGTGCGGCATGGCGTGTGGCTTGTGCCTTCTCTCTGATCCAGGGACGATGCATTGAACCCCACCCACTGCGAACCAGTACGAGCGGAACCCACAGATGCAACCTAGAATAACAAGTAAACAACTGACGAGTCCCTCTTTGGGTAACACATCCGCAAAGCCGCAAAGCATGATCCAAACCGTGCCTCAAGTCCAAAGCATCCTGTCTTGTGTGCAAAAGCATCTGGGGGAACGTCATGTTCCCAAATGTTGAGCAAAATGAGCCGTGTTGCTCACAAGGATCGGCCGTGTTGGAGATGTGACATTCATAGACACCATAGACAAGGAAGGCCAGAGATGGCCAGAAGCGGCCCCGTGAAAAAGGTGTAACCCATGGGTAGGCACCTGCCAAAGGCCCTGAGCTACCCACTGCCGGTCACGTCTGCAGTCAGTAGGTGAAGAACCGGTGCTCTTGAGAGCCAAAGCCAGCGAGATTTTGTAGATGGCGGGAAGGCCGAGGCGAAGTAAATTGCTTGCGTCAGCAATTGAAGCTTAGCATGTCACCAACAAACCAGTCACAAAGGGTCTGTGTCGCGTCAACTCCCAGGGATTTGGAGCTAGAGAAAGAACTGTGCAGACTACCACCCAAAGTCAGATCCTTGCAACTTCCAACATGTCTCAAGCAAGGAAGTGCTAGCACGGGGCGCTGAGTTAAAGCAACGTGCGAAAGACAACAGTGCAACGGCTACTTCAGACAAACTGCACGAGATGCTACCACCTCATGCACGACTGAGGCAGGACATGCCACGATGCCACAATAATGGCATCTCTATGAAACAACAGTTACTGGCATCAGCACACATAGACAAATCGGGACCTTCATTGACAACACTTATATATCACCTGTTTCATGTCGCACCACCTATTTGAATACTGTGCTCCTGACGAAACAACTATAGACTATAGATGCGTTGATTGGATCTGGTTGGACGTAGTAGATGCTGTCGGTGGGTGCGGCTTCACCCGTACACATCTGCATGTTCATGCACAAAAAACATGAGAAACCACAGAGTTTTGTGCATCCTTCACGCACTTTAGATGCAGTCCAGGAACCGCAGATTCCAATAGCTTCACCACGTTGTCGTGGCCCTGTGAACGAGCGTCATCCAATGGTGTCTCACCTGAGCAGGAAGGCGGACTTGGAAACTTTCCAATTGGCTTCTTCCATAGAGAAATCCATGATAGAAAACATATCTACCATTTTCCCTCCGGATTTGGTTCCCTCCACCTGCGCACCGAGACGTCTGGCCATCGCCGTGACACCGACACCGGGAGGTCCAAGGCCCCGGGCCGTCTCCGTCCTTGACGTCGAGCGAAGCGCCCGCGGCCACCAACAGCCCCGCGCTGCGCAGGCAGCCGCAGCGGGCAGCCCAACGAAGGGCCGTGCGACCTGGGAGGCCCGGGAGGCGCCAAGGCCGAAGAAGCCACGGGGGGAAAGCTCCATGGATCGGTCGGTGGGCCGGGCCATTTCAGGCCAAAGAGGGTCCACAACAAGGAGTCGAAGTTTCGTTCAGTAGCGATGCAAAGAAGTTTGGTTTTCAACAAGCACAAGACTTGAGACTTGAGAACATCCTACACTTAGAAAACCAGCAGGAAGTGCACCCATCGCCATCTGTAATACTTCTTTGAGACTCACTGAGGGAGAGCAATTCAACCTTGAAAGAAAGGTGAAGGGTACGTCCCACAAAGTCATGCCCCATGGCATGTCCCACATTGCTCTGCAAACACTTTGGATTCACGTGTGTTTCGTCCCTGCAATACATTTTCTGGTGTCCACTCTTCAAGAAACCATCCACAAATCAAGCACTTCCGTTCCAGCCCGGGGACCCCCCGTCCAAGGCCCCGCGCCATCGTTGTTCGCGACATCGAGGTCCGCCTTGGCCTCGATGAGGAAGTGCACCACGTCGTCGTGGTCGCGAGTCGCGGCGCACATGAGCGCCGTGATGCCTCGGCGCCGGAGCCGGGAGGAGCGGAGGCCGGGGAAGGTCGGAAGGGGTCGGTCCAGCGGCATCGGAGCTCCCGGCGCGGAGCTTCGAAGGACAGATGAGACACCAGTTCAGTATGAATTAACTAAAAAGACCATGATCGTGACATCTTTCTAAGTTTCAAAGCTTGTTCTGCCCATGATCCACTCCGAGTCGCTCCACAAAAAAGCCTTCCGAAACCGACCAACCTTCCTCTGAGGCCGCGGGCCGCCAAATTTTTGATTAGTCGCGCTGAGCGCCGCGGCGCGGTTCTGGCGCACAAAGCCGCGCACCGCCGGCAGGTCGCCGTTGAGTGCCGCCTCGACGACGTCAGCCCCTCGGCGGGGCGGACCGCCGCGTCTGGGACGCCGCGCGGTGCATCTCCGTGGTGCGGTGGTGCTGCTTTCTGTTTTGGGAAGAGGTCTGGGTGTTCACTTCCGGGTTGCTAGGTATTATATGTTTGGCAGAAAAGCGGAGAAATCAAAGCTGCTGGCGACATCGTGTGACGCTGCAGCTGGCAGAATCTCTACACCTTGAGGGCTGGGCATTTGGCAGCCGCCGCTCGGTCAGCCTGGACATCTTCGAAGGAAACAGCGAGTGAAAGATGGATCAAACAGAAGTCGTTCTTCAGGGATCTGGCGAACCCCCCTCCGTTGCATGCTCATGGTCGAGTCAACATGAACCTGCTGAACCTGCAAACAGCGACGCATACCTGGGCACTAAATATGACTTATGACCATGATATACAACTTGGTGTGGCTTGTGGTTTGTGGCTTGTGCCTTCTCTCTGATCCAGGGATGATGCATTGAACCCCCACCCACGGTGAATCAAATGTAGAGGAACGACAAACTGTCCAAAATGACTCATGTTGCGAAGTTTGTTGAGCCATCCCGGATCAGCAAGAAGTCCAGGGTCACAGTGCAAGATACAGGTCAATACAAATTACCGAGACTCGGACTCGGGCTTCACCTTGTTGATCATTTCTTCATTCGAAACCTCATCCGAAAATCATCCGAAACCTCAGACAGATCCGTTTGAAACCCGTTTGGCTGCACCCCCCCCGCGCCTCCTCAGACATGGCGGCCTCGGCGGCCTGAGTGTTACACATCAAAATAAACAATCACAAGCTCAGCCAAGGCAAGCAAGAACCATCAAAAAACACATCAAGAGAAGCGCATCAAAGCACTTGAAGGTTCAACGCATGATGCAATCAAAAAAACATCCAAAGATCCAATGTCCATCAGCTTTTTCGATTCAACCCTTCGGTCGGGTGCTGGCCTTCTGGTGTTAAAAAGGATCGAATGGAAAAACACTCCCAACCCGTGCTGCCACGAGCCGAAAATTGATCTGTCTGGACAGGTGTCATTTCAACATCTGTGACGCAAGAGCTTTCGGACTCTGAGCAGTGTTCAGACAGGCATTGTTAATTAGTTGTAAAATGACTTCAACATGTACCAGTCCAAATTTCCGGTCAACTTCAGTCAAAGCTCAACCGCAACCTCTGGCGCTGTTCCGCTGTTCCATGCGACACTTTGCATCTTCGTCCCTGCTCGGCGCTCACGATTCCTGCCGGAAACGATCAGGAGATGATCACGGCCACCAGAGGTCGGGCCTCAATTCCGATGGCAAAAAAGCAGCACGAACCTTCAAAGTCAGTTTCTCGGGGTTGACGGCGAACTTGTGGAGATGTTAAAGCACACAAAGACGAAATGATCTTAGAGAAGACGAAGGATTCAATAGGATTTAGTCTTAACATGTCTTAACCAATCGCCCTCTGCCCAGCCTTTGGCTTAGAGTCGAGGGCTTGAATGACTTGGGTGTGGGGATTGTTGGAGTGTGGTGAGAGCGCTCACGACTTCACATCCGGAAAGAGCGGTCTCGCCAAGAAAATGGCATCAGCGTGGCACAACCCGAAGCTTTAGGACTCTTCCAAAAGGCTTTATAGACTCGATCGATAGAAGGCTCCTCTTGTTTTATATTGGCAATGGTTTCTGTACACGGTTAGGTTCTTCTTCTTCTTCTTGCATGCCATAGGTACGGGGTGAGTAAAACTTGTGAACTAAGTCAGAGATAAATGCCGCACCCGTCGGCGCCCCTCATGCCCATCAGTACAGGAACTGGACAACATAGGAAAAGTGCAAATTGGAAAAGCAAATTTAGTTTCTAAGTCCAAGTATCAACCTGGTAAAGGCGGTTCAGAATTGTTCCCCATTGGCTGCATCGAGGGTTTGAACCTGCTCTCGAGCCACTAAAGTCAACGTCGCTATGACGGATATGGTTCCAAATCAAAGCCAAGGTATTGTAGGTCCACTGTTTGCGTGGCCTGCCAACACGTCTGAATCATACTTGGATAGGGGCGGAGTCGTTTTTGAAGCTTACCGTTTCTCTTGGGGTGTTCATTATCTTGGCGACGAATTCTACCAGCTAATGCAAGCCTTCGAGTCTTCAGGTTTCTGGGATGGGTAGGATGTTATGCTTCCAAGGTCATTTCTGGATATGTTGATATTTGATCTTCTAAACACTTCTGCGTTGCTATTGGCACGATATATATATATATATATATACGTGGTGGCAATGCCCAAATCTGTCTTAACCCTTTCAATTGAAATGCATCCAAGCGGGAAAGACGACCAGCTGGAATTTCCAGGGTCTCTAGAGCGGTTAGGCCCCTTGTTCATGCTGGTGAGCGTAGCATAAGAGTGGATCAATAATAATTCCCTGCCACCACACTGGGGCTTCTGCGGCTTCAAGAATAGCTTCTTGCCAGGCCGACTGGGGCACCCGACTCATTGTCACTCCCAATCAAGACAATTTTAGAACGGCGTGCCGCTGTGACATGTGGGATGAATCAGATCTTTCTCAAGAACCAAAAGCCCACAACAAGCGCCTCAATGACCCCAAGACCCGCGTGATCATCTTGGTCTATCGGGTGAGGTGTGTGGATCTATCGGGAATGCTGGCACCGTTCAAACGCTTCTGCAGAGCATGGAGAACGCACATGTTGCTTTTGTGAATGTCAGAGAACCCGCTTGAGCACATCCGGCGGCAACGTTTGACTTCAAGCACTAGAGGCACTGGAGCCACTCCAGGCTATGACTCATCAGCTCTCATTAGAACTGAAGATTCATGTCACTCTGGTTCTGAGACACCAACGGGATCACATGGATTTAACAGCTTTAAACCACATCTTTTGAGATGCAACTGCAACCACTGAGTCAATA